TATATATATATATTTGGAAATACTTTTTCCACATTTCAATTTTTGTCATCGAGTAAGGATTCAGTCACGTTAGATGAGAAGTCTAATTTAGTATACTTGGTAATAAAATTAAGGACCTTACTACATGAACATTGGGAGCTACATAAGTGTGTCCATTTATGGACACCCGGTTCCTCGGCCACCGCACAGGGGCTAGCTCGGCCAATGGAGAGGCGCTGATGGACACCCGAATGTAGCCCCTAATGTACAACAAACATAATCTTAAAATTAAACTGAATTTAGTATATTTGATAATAAAATTAAACTCAACAATGTATCAAGTCATTGGTCGCTAATATGGTGAAAGAATTGCAATATCGCATCTCAAGTTTTCGAAATTATTCAAACCACCCTCCATTTATTTAACAAGCATGATTAATATTTTCAACATCTTAATTAACAATTACAGCAATGTCTTAAAAATTAAAGTGGGCATTCTACTGACTTTTAAGCTCCATTTAATTCATTTATTTTATTTTATTTTATTTTTCATGCTCATTTTCAACCACATTTACAAAATAAAATATTCTACACATCAGCTCTAAATTTTTACTAACTTCTTAATCACACATTCTCTAAAAACTATTATTCAAAACTATGTTTTTTAAATTATAAGGCCACCAAACAAGGACTAAATACTTGAATCTTTACATGTAGTTGGATCGAATTTCAATATAAAGGTACAAAAGATTTGAAATATGTTCAAACAGAAACAATCTTGAAAAGTAGTGCAAAGATATCATCCTATCTATCTATACCTTGAAATCTCGACATATATATATATATATATATATATGAAAATTTGAAATATGAGAGGATTTCGTAATTAATTAGAAACATCAAGGGTGGTAACTGAAATTAATAAATCCCAAGGAGAAGATTGTCGGATCATAAAACTAATCATGTCACGTAAGGAATTCTTTGTCGGAGAATTTGTATGACCCTTCTTCTATGTAAATTCTTCTTCTCATTCTCACTTCATATCTTTCAGTTCAACTCTTCTTCAATTTCAAAGAACGGAGCAATAGTTCACAGAAATGGAGAACACAGACCCGAGTAATCACAACAAGACAATTATGACAAGTAGCAGCAGCCACATATCAATATCCGACACTGAGTCAACAACGAGTCAGGTGGACTCTTTCCACTCCCCACTCCGTTCTGAATCACCCCTCCGCTCCGATGATCCATATTTTCAAACAGAAAATGTCAATGTCAATGTCAATTTTATTAGCAAGAATAACAATACCTCTGAAGCTATGGATAAATACTATGCCGTTCCATCGCCGCGAAATCTTAATTTAATGGCGGTGTCTCCGGTTTCTGTGGGCAAGGAACGGAAGCCACGGCCCCATTCTGAAAAACCCACGTCCGAGAATCTTGATTTTTCGTCTATGCCTGTGGTTGGCGGTGGGAAGTTTCAGCCACCATATCTGCTGCAGTCCGAGAATCTTGATTTTGATGCGAAGAGTGGGCTGGGGACATCGCCGGTGCTTGTTTATAACAGGTCGGTGAAGGAGGAGTCGGCGCCAGGTGTGACTAAGGTGGGGGCAGTTGGAGGTGATATTGGTGGCTTCGAGGAGGGTAATGGCGGTCGTCCGGAGGAGGTGGACAGAGAGAGGCAGCCGAGGGCGGTGGGACCAACACGGAGGAGGTCGAGAAGGGAGATGAATTTGAAAAGGGCTGCTTTGGGGTTTAGAGCATTTGAAGTGATAGTGTGTTTGATCTCGTTTTCAGTTATGGCAGCTGATAAAACTAAAGGGTGGAGTGGTGATTCCTTTGATCGCTACAAAGAATTCAGGTAAAAATCTCACTTTTACGAAAGAAATTGCTTAAGAATGCACATGCAGATGGATATAGTGTAGCCCAATTTTCTTATGAATCAATAATAATTGGTTTTTGTTTTGTGGTTTTTGTGATGTGTATGCCTTTATATTTGATTTTCACGTGTAATAACTTGTGTGTCAACTGTCAAGGTCTACAGCTTCTCTGGGCATGCTCCATTTATGCGCTAAATCTCATTGTTATGTGTCGCTGTTTTTCTGATCTGTAAAACTGTGTAACCAGAATTTGATGTGAAAATAAGTTTTCATGTCCTTGTTATTTCCTTTTTCTCTTGATTAATTCTTCAAAACAGTTGATGTAATTGTTTTTTTACACAGGTATTTGTTATCCATGAATGTTATTGCTTTTGTATATTCTGGATTTCAAGCATGTGATCTGACCTACCATTTGGTTACGGGAAAGAATGTTATCTCTCACCAGCAACGATACCATTTTGATTTCTCTATGGATCAGGCAAGTGGTTTTTCTTTCTTTTTCGTTTCCTCTTTT